AAAAAAAAAAACACCTCTTCTCTTTCTTTCTTTGCAAGAAAATGACTACAATCTGCAAAAATACACACAAAATGTCAAACCACATCCGAACTCAAAAATAAGTGTTTCTATTAAGAAAAACAGCCATTTGGTATTCAGAATAATCTGTCCTTCCTTTTTCACCTTTCCTCTTTTTTTCTTCAAATTAGTATTTGAGGAGGATCTGAGGCTACATCTTCTAACAGGTGGTAAAGAAGCTAGTCTCAGCCCTGTTAACATTTTATACTAAAACTCGTTCTGGTACGAGTCATGAACATTAATGCTAATATTTCTTAATAACCACATTGATTGCTGACTGAAACCCATATTTGATAACTGTTTACTGGAACTCTTCATATGAAAGATCCTAATGCAAATGGAGGAGCCCAACATTAAGATGACCAAGCAAAATTAAACTACCACATAGATATATTTACTGATTTTGTCATGCTAATTACTTGCCATGAAAGACCACTGACAACTAAAGTACTGGAGGAGGAGGAGTGGCCTTGTATGTGGACAAATCCTTGAAATTTAATGTGGTGGATAAGATGACGATGGTGACTGATAATGTACTGGAAACCATTACAGTTGAAATTTGTAAAGAAAAGTAAAAGTGTAATAATTAGCTGTATATACAGAGCTCCAGGTAGTAGTATTGAGACATTTAAAGACTGGATAGAAGAAACATTTATTCATTTGTGGAGATCTCAATACTGATTTCCTAAACCCAAATAAACATAAAACCACTGACAAATTTATAAACGCAATGTACTTTATAAACCTATTATCTAAAATTACTAGACCCACCAGGATCACATCACATTGTGCAGCTCTCATAGACAACATTTTTACAAATGAAGTTGAAAATAAGTGGACTCCTGATTAACGACATCAGTGACCATCTTCCAATTTTTTTAAAATCTATGATAGAAATTACAAGATCAATAAAATGGACAGTTTAAAAAAAATGTACAGGCGAGTAAGAACAGAAGAAAGAATGAATGCATTTAAAAAAGATTTATTGAAACAGAACTGGGGTGAAGTATATCAGGAACATGACGTTAATAGTGCGTATAATGAATTCCTTAGAATATTTACATTAGTGTACAATACCAGCTGTCCAATAAAGCAATATAGTAGGAAACATAAATATATGAACTGTCCATGGATAACAAAAGGTCTGCACAATGCATGCATAAAGAAAAATGCTCTACACTTAAGAAAGAGAACTAAAAATGCAGAAATCAGATACAAAAAATATAAAAATAGGTTAACTAATATACTTAGATATAGATAAAGGATATGAAGGATATGAAGCAATTAGATATAACTAGAAATAATATTAAAAGATTATGGGAAATACTGAACAGTGTTATAAAATGTGGGGCTGGACAAAAGAACTAGTATTTCATTTGTAATGACCATGAAGAATACAATATGGATGTTGTGGCAAATAGTCTCAATTAATTCTTTGTAACTGCTGGACCAAATTTA